GGCTTAGGCTTGGAAATGGGCTGGGCAACTGCGTTGGGGATGGCAGTGGCAGTGGTGAGGGGGAGGAGAAGGAGGAGAGGGGCGAGGAGATTAGTGAGATGCATGTTAGGCTTTGAAAGTGTGGTTGATGATGGTGGTTGGTGATTGAGAGTGTGGAGGGGTTTCTTATATATGTTCCCCGGAATGATGAAGAATGAAAAACAGTGGGGTAGACGAGAGAATACTGTATGTCGTGATATTCACCCCGGTGGCCGCCGCCGCCAACAGGTGTTGTGCTTTCCACCACGTCCGTCGGATATGCTGAGTGCTGAGTTTCAAACGTAGTACCGATACCCCGGGCCGATCCAGGTTTCTAAATCAGTTATAACTTTAATCACTTCCCTGCTTGAAGCTGACCGGGGTTAAAAAACGCAGTTGTACGATAGTAATATAGATGCCCATGTGGGCACGAGAGAATGAATGAGAACCTGGTAAGCGCTTCAGCGTGGGCCTACGCGAGAATGGGATTGGCGGCTGGGGTGGGTGCAGGAGACAGGAAATTTCGAAACCGAGAGGGGATTTATATCTATGTAATCTAATAATTACACACGATAGACGCCTGAGAAACCACAATGCCTGGTTAGTCTTGAACTTGTAAACTCACTGGTGCTAGAAACGAAACCTCGATATCGCGATTAAAATGTTAATCCTTTCGAAATATATTAAAAGATCATTAGTTTTGATCCTTAGCAAGTGCCTTCCCCACGTGTTGTTGTTGTTTATTCATACTGTATTTACTCTAACTAGAGTATGACAGAGCCCCATATCACCTCCGCCTCCGGGCGAGCCGGCTAGATGGCGGATCTCCCCCCCCCCCGCTACCCTTCGTCCCCGCAACCTTCCCCACGTGTGCAGAGTACCTACGCAGATGGGAATTCGGGTTTCCAGACCGTTGACTGCAGAGCGTTCAGAGGTTAGCGGTACAGAGGAAGGTAACCCTGGACAGTGAGCGTGCAGAGAGCTAGAGCGACGACATACGGGGGAGAGGTGATATGGTAGTTACGTACTCTACATGTAGGTACTCGGGTAGGGTAGACGAAATTGGGAATATTTGAGCCGCGATCTAGGCAAATTTCTATGGGGGCAGGGATTAAACATTCCTGATTTTCGTCTTCTATATCTGAGTACTATGATATTGGTGGCCGGAATTAATCTCCCGCTCCTACGAATATTTTCCGTATCAAAATTCTCGAGGATTGTGAGTATCATACATTCTTCGATATGGTATTAACGTTAATGGTTGGTCATACCTAGTACAAGCGGCTAGACCTTAAATTCCATACCTTTGATATCACTCGCGCACTCCGCTATAGCGGTATCTTCATGGAGGTTTGTTCTGTGCAGCAGTAAGATAGAACAAGCCAGAGAACACACAATTCGCATTAGCCCAAGACGATACTTCGATATAGTTCGACTTCACCTCATACTGACTTCAGTGCCTGTCTATCTCTTCAGTGCCTGCGCATGCTTCTGATACCACTCAGGGTTTCCAATTACAGTATACAAGAAAGTTCAAACCTTTAGGCCGCTCTCGGGAGGTTGTATGATTCATTGGCATGAAAAACCAGGGAGGGATCCTACACTCACGTGATCACGAAATGGTCGTTCTGGCGTCTACCGTGTGTGTGTGTGTGATTATCAGATCCGATAGCGCTCTAACAATCACCTCCGGCCGCCAATCGTAGACTCGCATACGTACACGGGTGCGTATATATTATACCCCCTGCAGCGTTTGCAGATTTGCGATCGTAGATATGTTTAATCTCTGTCAAGATGTTGCTAACAGGGAAGGGGGCCTGGATCCGCCTGGGGTGTCGGCATACAACTAGGGAGGCCTCGAGGGATTGAGGGAATATCTAAGCTCTCGAGAAAAATGGGAGACGAAACTTAGTATTCCCGACCGACAGACGTGCACGTGGTTTCCGGGACTATTAGCTGTGGCACATCAGGGTGTGCCCAGAAGGTCTTCGACGAAATTTGATTCATTTTGTTGTATCCTGAATCACATATTGAGACCATGAATGGGCCTAAGATATCGAATCCCATATAACCCCCTCTCAACCCATCCCGACTAGCTCTTCACCATCAACCATCCACCACACTCTCATCGCAAAGCACAATGCACCGCTTCACTCTCATCCCTCTCTTCCTCCTCACCCTTAGCAGCGCCACCGCCATCCCCAACCCGAAAGCACTCTCCCTACCCAACCCCGAGGCCAACGTTGGCGCCGCCATCGAGCCAATATCCCTTGTCCGTAAGGCGGACACTTTCTTCGAAGTCCCAAAGTCAACCTCCAACACTTTCGCCGACTACGCCTTCGAGAAATGTAAAGAACTCGGCATCGACCCACACGGTCCACACCCGGATGATTACAAAAAGGATGATGGTAAGGGCAAGACCTTTGAGGCGGGGAGCAAGTTTTCGTTTTGGGCAGGGGCGCAGGTGAGTGAAAAGATGAATGAGAAGAAGGGCGGGAGAAAGAGACAAACAAATACTATCAGTGTTACGTAAGTTTCTCCCCCGCCGGAGAACCGAGGAAAAATGGGAGGCAGGGCTCACTGGGAAATAGTATGTGGACAGATTGGGACTGTTCCATGAACGGATACCACGTCGATGCTTTGGATCAACATTTAGGGCAGAAGTTTTTTGAGTGAGTTTCCCGTCCGCCGTGCTCTCCCGTCGTCGTGCTAATGGGGAGATAGTCCGGATCCTACCATGGAAAGGTACTCGTTGAGTATTACATCTGGGAATGTGGACCCGAATGTTTGGAGGATACACTTGAAAACGTGGACGGGACCTGGGACGAGTGATTGCTTGGAGACGCATTTATATGTAGGTGGGGGGGTTGCGTGTTATAATTATATCAGGAAGTTTAGTTGTGTTCAGTTGTTGCTTCAGTAGGGGATGGGGGG